TTATATCTGTTGATGTGGCAACTAAAAATAGGTGACTGTTTGACTGCCTTATAATTCTTTTTATTTTTTATTTTTTGGGTTTCCTTTGTTTACACAACTTTGTTACAATTCCCATCTTTTTTAAATATTCTTTTGTATTTGAAATCCTTAATACTAACAAAGTTGTGTAAACAAAGGAAACCCAAAAAATAAAAAATAAAAAGAAGTATAAGGCAGTCAAACAGTCACCTATTTTTAGTTGCCACATCAGCAGATATAATAAGTGAAACTACGTAGTTTCACATTGGACAGAAAATTGGACACAAAATATTGGACAGAGGATCTGCTCTCGGAAGATTCCACTCGCTAAGAAGAGGCTTCTCTGCATTCTGCAATTCTCAAAACAAAGTATAGAGAACAACTGATGGCACCACAACGTTAAATCTGATCGGCCGACTTGATGCTGCTCAGATCTCGACCATCATTCTTGGGAAAAAAAAAGATGCAATTTGGTGAGGGATGACCAGATCCCGCTTGCCATGAGATTGGGTGGTGCGAGGGGAAATCTAAGTGTACATTAATTGATTCTGTATGTACCCGGGTTACAAAAATGACCAAAAAGAATATGCGTTAACGAATGCGTGCAGACAATGCTGAAGAAACTCTCTCAGAAATGGGCACATGGGTCCACTTAACAGCCCCAGAACTGCTTCGAGATCTTCGTAAGAAAGAAATGCCCGTGCCCTGGAGCAAATTCTTCGTAAGAAAGAGTTTAGTGTTCCCCTCCGAAAAGACGAAAGAGCAAAGCTGGATAAGTTCGAATCCCGGTCAACAATTTAAGAACAGTTTCCCCATTACAAAAATAAATTCAGCAACTGGATCGTTTTCCGCGACCACGGACAAAGAGAGATCCAAATCCCTAATGAACCATCAAAGACGAGCACAACACCCAGAAACTATCACAAGACGACTCAAGAACGCTGATATACAAACAGCAAGTTCCTCTATTCATTGGATCAAAAAGTATCAGACAATATATTACCGCTCTGAGGCCTTCAGTTTGCCCAATTCCAGAACAGGCCACTAGTCATTAATCCGCAAGGAGTTGATCAATGCAAAGTCGAAGAAAGTATCTCTAACAACATGAGGAGACCATGCTTAGCAATATTATTGATTGTCTAATGAGGTCACAGTGTAACAAGAGAATAGTAAGTCTTAACTGTCTCATCAAAATTTAGTGTATGCGCCCACAAATTAGCAGTTGATCAAAACTCTTAAGAACTTCAGTAACATTCATTCTGGCTTCTGATCCTTAGCACCCTCGTTCTCAATTTTCTGGCAAAAGATGGAATTACATCAGGCAGCTCTTACTCAAAAACATCAATGCAAAAACGCTATGGAAGTCAACAAATGAATGCTAAATCAAACAGTAGTGCATGTCAAATTGTTAGAAAGAACGGGTAAAAGAGGCAAGTCCATATTAAGAAGCCAACGAAAGTAAATAGAGTAGCTTCCAATACAGAATAAATCACGCTAGTGTACAGAAAGGTCAAACACGGATGAATATTCACACACGATAACCCACCTACTAAATGGCTCACCCACTAAAATCAGACATGATCCTCAGGCAAACTAGTTTCATTTGACAATTTCAAAGGACAATAAGTATAACATTTATGCGGAAATCCAAAAACAGCATCTCTGTTCTTGCTGAATAAGTGCGTGCTCTTATGAGTATTGTTTTACTGAACTCACGAGCAACCAGCTTTTCTCATCTCAAAACCTACCTTCAACAAATGGCAGAGGATACCTTGTCAAAAATGAGCTTAAGGGCCTCTTCTCACTTGCTTAAAATTAATTTTACTTGCATCTTCTGAAGATATGTGTTATTAGAAGGTACTGTTGTTTAGTTTTGAATTCGGCCATTATATTAATCTGAGTTGATTTAGAGAAACGGCCCTCAAGGTGCTTTTCTTTTGGCTTTAGAAACTTTCCGAACATGAACATTTTGTTTTTCCAAAAAACTTTTTCTGATATAGCACAGCTTTTACAAAAGCTTAAGCAAATTAAACGCCCAAAGTCCCCGGGATGTCTATTTCCTCAACAGGCAAACCAAATGGCATGATTATTTCGTTTTCTAAATGTGAATGTCAATCATCAGATGCAAATACATCAACCTCAGGATGACCGTCAAATAAAATGAAACATATTTGAGTATTGGAAATGATAAAGATCCTTAATGACGTAAAGAAAGGTAGAGCATCAAAGAAAAAAAAGGGTTTTGGGACAGCTAGTGTTATTAAGATGAGTATAATAGTTTTAAAACATCAGGAAAGCCAGAGATAACGTAAAACTGCGAGAGGAAGAGTATATGAATCTCGACAAATTTGAGTAATCCAGTGGAACCATTCTTGGAGTAATACAAATTGGATTCATTAAATACAACTATGAGAGGAAAAAAAAACCATTAACTAAGTAGAAGAGATTCAACAATGGCAAATGTGATGTGATATGTTCCAACAATGTTTAATCAATTAAGACTTATGTAAGTGAAAAAGGAGAATGCTAGAAAGAGCACATGCAATCAGAATCAGTCAAATTAATTCACTTACTCTTCAAGATTATTAAGGGAAAAAAAAAGGCGAATCATTTCTCAAAAAAGGCGAACCATTCTTGGTAGTATTTAATTGTTACAAATAGGGTTCGTAATATTTACTATAAAAGAAAGAGGTTTTTTTTTTAGAGAAGGGGGGGGGGGGTGGCGCGGGGAGAGGGGAAGAGGCATGAAGTTGGGATGGGTAGTGGGGTACCGATTGGGCAGAATGCCAAGAGAGGCCACGGTAGACGTTGACGGAGAAAGTAGCGGCTAGGTATAGGGTAGTAACTCCTAGTCCTGCCGTGAACGCCTTGAACCCCCAGTCACCTACTTTGCTCACTATTCCCCCCGCCATCTTTTATTTTTGTTTTGGTTGATGATCTCTCCTCCTTCCTTTTGCCTGTCTGCAGTCTGCACCACCACCACCACCAGATTCTTCCTTCCTTCGCCGCGCCTGCCTCCACTGAAAGGGGACACTTAAATAGTAGCAGCAGGAGTACAGTATAATCTGCTTGCTAGACCCAGCCACCTCACCTCTCGTGCAAACCAGATATTGACTCTTTTTTTTTTTTGGGATAATTTCAGAAACGGAGGTTTCTGACAGTCTCACTCTACTCTCCTGTGGTTTCAAAAATATCACAAACCTCCCCTGAGATTTAGGATTTTGTAACAAAATCAGCCCATGACGTCAAAAGTGAACATAAAAAAGTGTTTTCAGAAAAAAGAGGGAATTTTGTTTTCATAAATGCCCCTGAGGTAAGTGTACAAGTTATATTAGTGAAATAATAAAAACTAATAAAAATAAAAAATAAATTAGAAAAAAGAGATAATTTCAGATACAATATGTTATTCATCAATAATACTATATCAAAAGCTATTACTAGACGGTTATTTGTTCCAATTGCATATTAAATTAACCATTAGTGCTTTATGAGAGTGCATTAAATATTTAGTAGAGAGGTAGTTTATTTCAATAAGTAACATGTATATAAATACTTAGTGAATGTACAATCTGGTTGAAATAATGTACACCGTGTTTTCAATCAAGTACGATTCATAGAAATTGTTAAACATGCAGTTATTTGTTCACATGCATGTTGCAATTAGTCATCGTAGCAATATGCATAGTGCAATGGTATGTATATATTTGGAATGATTATTGGTGTTTTGACCCACTTGTGCATTTCCTTACAAGCTGCAGTGGGTATGTAATTTTATCTATATGACTAATACTAATTTGCCTATAAACACCTTACACGGGGTGATATATGAGATACAATCAGTTTACAAATATATACATTATGTTAGATGTTAGTTACTTGACTGTGTATATCTATAAAAGGTAGTGTAATGGTACACATAAATTTGGAATGGTTAGGCGTTAAAAAAATATATATTATGTTAGGTGTTAGTTATTTGACTATGTATACATGTAAAAAGGAGATTAGATATAGTGTAGAAAAAAGTAATTACGTGAGTTGGAATGTATTTGTTCTGATAATCACGAAATATTAGTTGACTTGTGAGGGTATTTAAGTCTTTTTTGCCATGATAACGTAAGAAATGGGACCTAAATCTGGCAGGGAAGGTTTGTGATTTTTTGAAACCACAAGGGAGGAGAGTGAGACTGTCAAAAACCTCAGGGGAGGTATCTGAAATTATCCCTTTTTTTTTTTTAAACCGCTGGTTGAAATATTGAGTAATTTACCCTTCTCGTCCGCAAATGGGTCAATGCCCAATGGGGGCAGTTTCAAGTGTAAATTAGGGGGCTAGGGTTAACTTAGGATACTTGGGTCATCATCATGTTCTGTAGCAGTTTAATAAGTTAGATTTAGCCTACACTACACACAACATTGGTCCCATTTGATAGTTTTTTAGGTATTTGGCTAAAATTTTCCTCCAATTTACTGTAAAAGTTTTTAAAAAATTTTTTGAAGTATGTACTTTTTGAATATTTTGAAGTGTATAGTTTAAAAATTTTGAAAATTTTTTTGAGATTATTGTAGTTAAAATTTTTAAAAAACTTATAGCCGACAAACTTGACAAAAAAAAAATCAAGTGCCAAACATGGCCAATGGACGTACTCACAATATTAACCAATCAGCCAAAATCAACGATCATGCCCCTTTTAACAGTTTCCCCAAATTTGTGTAAAAATAAAGTACTAATACGTAGCATACCATAGCATTATCATGGGCTGCAAACTAGCCAAAATGACTCCAATTCCAGTTTTAGGCTAATCGACTCGAATTCAACTTAATTTTATCAAACTTCAAACCAAACCCACTGCTTCACTACTACTCGCTCCCAGATACCATGCATTTATTCAAAAGAACCCAATCCACAAACACAAGGTGAAAGTGAAACACACCCTTTCCGCAAAAGTAATTTTGGAGCTGTGGCAAATAAAAGGGGGAAAAGAAAATAATAAAAACGAGATATAATAAACGATAGTAGTACTACAATAGTGAGTAATATATCATATACTACTAGTACGAGTTATCCATAAATTATTTTCAAAAAAAAAAAAAAAAAAATTTCAAAACCCGTTTCTTGATCAAAAGAGATTTGCCCACATGTCAGACCGACCAGGGAGAATTTGATAGATTGCACGATACCGGCTGGTTTCTTCTTCTCCCTCTCGCTCAATGTCTTTAAGCTTAAAATCCAATCAACCACGGAACTGAGTGTTTCACAGCTACCATTTGCTCTCCGACAGAGATATAAGCTGCCAGCAAGAGGAGAGCTACAAAGTCAATCATCACATAGATAGCAAGAGGAGAGCTGCAGCGGGTTCAGCAAAGAAAGATAGATAGCAGAAGGATGAAGTGAAGACTAAAAGACTCGGGTGGTGGCATGCTACTCTAACATTTCCACGAACCAAAAATGACAATCATCACGAAGTGCTATTCACAGGCAAAATGCTAAAGCTCTTTAGAGAATCAAAAAGCCCAATGATATACAATTGCATTCTTGTAAGTACCACTAGCTCCATCTCTTTGCGTCACACTTCCATTTTTAGTCCACACCAAAAGTACGTCGCTTGCTCAAAAAGGCAAAGTTTTACAGATCTCATTGCCACTTTTATCCATTCAAGCCACAGAATAAAATGCTAATGCCAGAGGTCCCATAATCATCAACCCATTCAAAAGTTCCAAGGACAAGTACGGTAGAAATTCCTACCGTTAAACAAAGAAAGTTTATCCATGCAAGACAATGCTGAAACAAAGGAAATGAAGTTCAGGAACATGCAAATCACAGGTAGCCTAGTCACTTAGAGATAATAAGGAGCTGGCACCACAAACTTTAACTTGCTTCAGTAGTTTCCAGCCAAATACTCTTTAGAAAGGCTAAAATCGGAAACTCATGCACAAACTTCCACATTTCTTGTACTTCTGAAAACAAGATTAATCCCCGAAAAGTGAATTTAAAAACAGCACCCGTGAAGTACTACTATAAGTGAAGAGGTCAGTGCTATTCAGTTGCAGGCAGATTGCCCAACAGCAGCCAATAATTTTCTCCTAAATCTTAATAATCATCCTATAGGTCTGTTTCCTGGATGGTCATAGAGTTTGATGAGTGGAAGAGCCAAAACAATTGAGAACATGCTACAATTTATAAAGACTGTCAAAAGAGAAGTATAGACATGGTTCTTTGAAAACAATAAACCATGATTACCATAATTCACTGAGAATACTGGATCAAATACCTTGTGCTTGAGTTAAAATAGTAATCTCAAACATAAAATTATCTCAATACTTCAGTTCTTGTAAGTTCAATGAATAGTTTAAAGTTTTTAAAACCCCAAGTTCATGATATCAACTTAACCCATAGGGAAAGGAAAAGATCCTGAAAACATAGGGCGGGGTGATTCAGTTAATAATACTAACTAAAAAGTTCAGGCACTTATTAATTCTATCAAAGCCAACACAAACTGAATTAAAGGTGGACTAGAACCAACAATTACGTGAAGATCTGCACTTTAACTGGTTCAAATGGTTAAAATGACAAATTGCGTTTTTCATTTCTTAGGGACAAACATTTTAATGCACTTCAAGCTAATAAGAGTACATCTTGTCAGAAAACTTTGATCTCTAGCTGGCCACAAACTACATAGTTGATAGTAAATAGAAGAAACCAAGCCACCTCAACTGTCTAATAACCACCATGTAGAAGAAAAAGTTTTTCAACCCAAATGGTTAAACAGATCTTCAAATGCAACAATCAGTCAACAAAATGAACAGAGGCAACAGATGAAGAAAAGGGAGGAAATTCAGTTGCTTCAACACCCCCCCCCCCAACACAAACAAAAAAAGGCAAAAGCAAGTGCCATGCAGGTCTGGTGTCAGGAAAGCAGAAAAATGAATATATGCTTATGCCACAAAAATAAAGGAAACTTCTCAATAGCGATTGTTAAGAAAAAGTTTGTTGTCTAAATTCCGAAATACCAGGATTAATGCATGAATTGACAATTGGTAATCAAAAGTGATTTACGAGAAGAGTTTTTTAAGATAACAGTCAGTTGTTGCAAGGAAAAATTAATAGTGGACTGCATACCACTCCAAAAAATTGTCAGAAATCATACAGGAAACCCTGCCTTTAACGCAATGGGACTCGTGCGCCTGAATTTCAAATAAATCAAAAACATGGAAATAAGAGATACAATTTCCAGCTGATAAGCACCAATGATGTAGAATCACCAAGTCAAGTAGAGATGCTTTAAAATTACACCATGCAGCCTTATGTCTGAGAACAAAAGAAACTGAATCATGCATTGCTACAGATATGCCAAATACGCATATGCTGTAGCCAACAAAAAAAACCAACCTGATGAGCAATGTGTGCTAAGCGCCCACAATGTCGAGAGGATTCTGTTACTAAGTTTGACTTCTCCTGCTCCACAGGATCACTTTCTTCCCCCAAAGTTCGCCTCTTAGAAGTATCACTTTCAAAAGAAACAACCCCATTGGATTTGCTCAAAGAATCTCTCTTTCGCTTCCTTTGGAATGTATACTTGATTATTCTTTCATGGATAGGTTGATTACCAACCCTATCCGCTACAGTAGGTTCATTTGGCTCATATATCGGCAATGTAATATTTGAGTTTTGAAGATCTGTTTCACCCTCTGTAGCCACCGAACTCCCGGCAGAATCCTTAAGGACCAAATTTTCTGTACCTTCATTTTCATTCACGGGTCTATGAACAGCAGCAGAGTTACCAAGCTCAATATCATTTTCAGAAGTTTCAGCACAATCCTCCTCTAACCCTGGTTCAGCTCCATCTGAAGATAATCTTGACACCATCTTGGATTTATTTTCCTCAAAATGAACATCACTTCTCACAGAAATCAGATGAGTTGCCGCACAAGAAACATCAGGAGCTTGATTAGGTCTACGAAGTTGATCAGGAAAACTTCCGGATGAGGTAATCGTCCTTTTCCTATATCTAGTAGCTCTCTTCTTCTTGACACAAAAAATTGGGGTGGGGTTCCATCTACCAAGTTGGCTATCTGCCTCTACTTTCTTCTCAACATTACTCAAATTTCCTAAGCTACAGTTAGGTACTGAAAAGATTTGTTTACCACCTAAATCTTCTAGAGTAGAGATATCATCTTTCCTTTTATGTACTTTCCCAGAAAGCATATTCGAAAGGTTTCCTTCTGACGCACGTATTCTCTGAGTGCACCCATTTCTGTACAGCTCAGGCTCTTTGCTTCTCAAAATGATAGAGGGCAAATCTGGACATCCAAGGTATAAATTCCCCACATAAGGTACACCAGAATAGAATTTAAAACTCTCATTTTTCTGAAACTCATGCATGCTTCTCAATTCAGCAGCTGCAACATGTCCGAGATCTGATTGATTGGGAGGGAGTGCATTAGACTGGGAATAGTGGGCTTCATTCTCTTCAGATATTCCTTTTTGTGCCACAGCATGCTGATCATCCAGGAGCTTCTCTTTACTGTTTCTGACCCTCTCCAATTCAGTGTTCACTTCTCTCAGTTCCTCTCTGAGATCTTTAACAATATCCTCAGCTTCTTGGAGTTGAGCTTCAAGTTCATCAATCTTTTTCTGTTGACTCAGTGACGTCAACTCTGCATCAGAAATCTACAAAGGGGGCTAAAATGTAAAACCAAAGACAACAACGTATACATTTTCATTAAAATAGATGAATTTAAAAGTGACTCTTGCAATCTAATCTTATTGCTGATTTTGCCACAAGTAGGAAAAAGAAAATATGGAATGAAAAGCATGTACTTGTCAAACAATCTACACTAACTTCATCCAGAAGAATCAGACCCAAAAAGTCAAGCACATCAGTAATAACTTATCTAAACTTTATGGTGGCTCTACTTTGACTAACAGCACTAAAGTTGCTATTGCCTGAAGCCAATATCAATGTTCAATTTTGTAATGCAAGGTAAAAAGATATTCTTAAAAAAAAATTTGAGGCAGAATAGGCATTCCAATAGTGAATTCTCAACACAATTGAGAATTATTAATGCTTCTTTGTGGGGTAGATCCCCTGATTAGCCCACAAGAAGCCTGCTCTTTTAGGTAGGAATACCACTCCCACTTGATGATTTGATTATATGGATATCTACATATGTCCTGCACTTGAATGTCCAAGAAAAGAAATTACAGCATATCCATTTCATCCAACACCATATAGCCTCAAAGCTTTTCAAGTTTGTTTGAAATTAACTAGGCAATAGCTGCCGGGTTAAACCTGAAATTCCCAATCGGTCAGAAGCTCCACAATAATAGGTGGCATCCAAATTCAAGGTTCCCATTTAAACACCAGGAGAACCAATGAAAGGAATTGGTTTCTTGAGCCTCATCACATGCTATATACTATACAAAGTGACATCCAATTTCAGTATTTTTCCCTCCTAGTAAACTAGTCACCTTCAGCAAGGAGGGAACTGATATGATCCACGGGAAAGCATCAAAGGAAACTGACAGTAAGTCAAGAAATTCAATTTCTGAGGCACTTAAAAAGAAAAAGAGACAGCGAGTGAGATGAAACTAAATTCTGAAAGGAATGGTCCAGAAAGAATGTACATGGATCAATCTTTGCAATCTAGAAGGAAAGACAGTATTTTTCCCTTCATCATCACTGGCAAAATGATCTAGAAATCAAAAATCATCCAGAAAACGAACAAAATCGAAGCACCAAAAGAAAAAAAAAAAAGAAAAAGAATCCATCATCTGCTTGAGGCGCAGCTGATGAAAATATTCAGAGGAAAAACCTTAGAATCCATCATCTGCTTGAGGCGCAGGAGCATCCGCAAGGCCTCCTCTTTGGCCATCTGAAGCTCCCGCTGAAACCGCTGCGCCTTTCTTTCGGACGCCATTATTCTGGCAGCGGCCTCCTTCGCCGTGTTCAGTATGATATCCGCATATGCCTTCTTCAAAGCCCTCAGTTTCTACATAATAAAATCAATTGAATCAAAAGAACAAAGATTCCATTTTGAGGCTAAAAGCCAAGAAAAAAACATAAGTAACTAAAAAAAAAAAAAAAGAAGAAGCCCGTCTTGAAAGGGGAAAAACGGTTAAAGAATCAGTTGAGATAGGTAGTTGGTGGGGGTTTGGAAGTGGGGCAAGTGCTTGTGGTGGTGGGGGTGGTCGAGGGGCGTGAAAGCGGTGATGTTGATTAGTATTAGCATTACCTCATCGGCAGCCATTGGGGAAGAAGAATCCTTAAAAGCAGCGAAGCGAGTGGTTAGTTGTGCGTTTTGGGTTCTTCAGACCAAAGTGAAGAGGGTGGGAGGAAGCCAGGAAGGGCGTCCGGGTAGGAGCAGTAAGCCAGTAACTGCTGCTACCTCTTTGTAGTAGCTGTCCTGTCCGTGTCTGTCTGTTATGAATTATGCGGCCTTTTTTTTTTTTTTTTTCTTCCTTCCTTAGTGTTGAAACTTGTTTGACGCAACTGCCCTTGCATAGCGCCTTCAATTACTTGTTAACTTCTTCTTGTTCAGCCCCTCCCGCCCGCCCTTCCCTTCGGCTTCCCGATGGTCTTTGGGCTTTTCAGGTTTCCCGCGCCAACCAAAACCCATCCCCACCCCCTTCCCAAATAAAAACAAAAACAAAAAATATTAGTACTTTTCAGTTACGTTTCACAATGAATCGTAGGCCCCTTTGACAAGTAAGTTTTTTGAATGTTTGTCTAAAACTTTACTGTAACTTACTGTAGAAATTTTTTAACAAATTTTTGAAGTGTGTTTTTTTTAATATTTTAAAGTGTATAGTTTAAAATTTTTGAGAAGTTTCTTAAGGTTACTGTAACTAAAGTTTTTAAAAAACTTGTAGCAGGCAAACTTGACAAAAAACTTGTCTGCCAAACAAGGCCTCATCAAATTTGTATTAGTACTTCTCAAAAATATTTACGCGTTAGGGTATAACGAGCATTCGATCTCTCTCAACCTTTGCTAATTTTCATAAGTTTACAAGTAAATTTTCCTATACAATGGCTAATTACATTGCCAAAGGAATAAACATACAACTAAATGAGAGCTTAATGAGTCATATAGCTCTCTTGCTTTGATCAAAGCTAACCTAATGGCTATGCCTTCTTCTTCCAATTGATGAATTAAGACTAATTTGCTATGTTGAACGTGTTGTGACTAGATAAAAAGTGACTAGATGAAAAGTGACTAGATTGTTTGAAAATTTACTTATTTTTCGGGGTGCTTTTGAAATTTTTTTACTATAACAGTGTATATGAAAACCTTTTACTGTAAATTTTTTTTGTGATGTGTAGGGGGGTTTTTAGAATATATTTTGAAATACCTTTAAAAATTAAAAAAATTTTAAAGTACATTTTAAAAATTAACACTGCTACCCACAACCACCGCCCACCACTACCACCACCCCTTTCCTCTTTCTTTCTTCTCCCCCTCTCTCTTCCTGTTTCTTCTTCTCCTTCCCTCTTTTCCATCTCCCTCTTCTTCCCTCTTTCTTCTCCCATTCCCTTTCCCGCCACCCTTCACTCCCTCTCGATCTGGCTTTGATTAGTTCACGACCTTCTTGTCACGATCTGGTTGAGGCTAGATCGAATGAAGGAGAATGGAAGGGAAGGAGAAGGGGAGAAGGAAGAGGGGAAAAGAGAAAAGGGGTGGTAGCAGTGGTGCGTGGGGGTGGTGGTGGTGGTGATAGATGGAAAATGTTGTAAATTTTTTTTTATTTTTTGTATATTTGTGAGTTATTTTTTATATATTGTATGAATAAGATACATTTATTTGTGCATTACTATAACATTATATTTGAAAAACTAGATTTTGAAAAATAGACTAATCCAAATGGAGCCTTAGTGCTTAACTACACACTCAAATTAATATGGTCTTATTTTCAATTGATTCAGTCAGCAAATAAACGTATGTAACTAATTGAGTCCAACATCCAGTTGATTCGCGAGAGGGGCCTAAATTCACCCTCTCCAATACCAGGATTTTTCTTCTCACCGGTATTTGCAATTTGGAAGCATTCTTGGATCCCCTTCTTTGTGTTACGCTCCCAACCTATTAAGGTAATCAAATGGTACAAATTACCATATTTTTTCCCATCAACAAGATAGTCTTGCCACATGTGATTTTCAAAACTCCACTTGCAATCGAAAAGTGATAGCTCTCGGAGTCAAACTAGCTTTAAAATATTATATTCCGTCATAACTTTGGCACATAAGACACACTACCCAAATAACGAATATCTCTATTTAGCATTTTGATTTTCATTACTCCAACACCTTTGATTTCACAAGTAGATCCATCACCGAAAGATGCAAAACCTAACTTCTTTCTTTGGAGAGTATTAAAATAATCTAACGCGGAGCAAACATGTGAAACATATCCAGAATATAAAATCCAACCATCACGGGAAAAAATATTATTACCTTTAGAGATTGTGAGAATATTTCCATTTGATACATATTTAGCAATATCATCATGCTCCTTCTCATCATTTTTCTTTCGATGAGGGCAATATTTTCTGATATGACCAAACTCATAACAATCAAAACACTGGACTCCATCATTTCTTTTGACCTTTGAACCATTTACCTTAGATTTATCACCAAATTTTTTTCCTCTTTTATTCTTATCTCGAACAATTAACGTAATTTTTTGTGTCATATCCTGATTTGTCTTCTTTTGTTTTATGATCTAACAAAGATGACTGCACATTCTTGAACTCTAAAGTATTCTTCCCGTACAATAGGGTCGTCATAACACTTTTGTAAGAATCAGATGCTGAGGTAAGAAGTAAAAGAGTCTTATCTTCTTCCTCAATTTCTATGCCAATTTTTTGGAGTTGATCCAAAATTTTGTTGAACGTATTTATGTGATACATGAGGCTACCATCCTCCTCCATCTTTAACTTATAAAGTTGCTGCTTCAAATGCAATTTATTGGATACACTTTTGTTCAGATAAAGCTTTTTCAATTTTTTTCAAATGTCTGCTACAGAATCTTTCTCGTCTATTACATTGTTTATGACGTTGTCCGCAACATAGAGTCGAATTGTGCTCGCATACCTTTCGTCCAACTCTTCAGACTCATTATCCTTCATTCTCTTTGGCTTCTTATTTTTACCATTTAACACTTTTGCCAAATCCTGTTGAACTGTAACATCCTTCACTATTCTTTTGCCAAAAAGTGAAACTTGTAATTCCATTAAACTTGTAAGTCTATCATCGTATGCTTGGTCTATCAGGTTGTTTGAGTTAATATACTCTATAAAGTCTCTAACAATCCACTCTTTTTTTTTCTCTTCCATCTTAATTCTTCTCATTTGAGGATCTAGTTATCCCTATATTATATTTATTTTTGCTTATTTGTTCCATATAAGAAATTTGAATTTGAGTAATGGAGTGAATGCACTTCATTAAGTTGGGGAATTGTTAAGAGATACCTTAACAATTCCATTCTAGGACTCTCATTGGGATGTGAAATATTCTTTTAGGTTGGTTCCCACCACTTGTTACTAACTTATTCCCCTTTCGTCCTCTTTTGTTATTCTTAGCATTCTATTTTTGTTTTTCACTATTTCCATCGTTTTATTTTCTTCATCTCTTACTTTATCTTATTTTTAATTGGTATATCCCATCACCCTTCATTTTCATTTTGATTGAGCTGTCGATGATTTTTTTTTTATTTTCTATATATTGGATTTCCTTCCATCTTTAGCATTTTTCTCCATCTATTTGGATTTTCACTGCATTGCATTTGTTCCTAATCTTTGAGTTCTCTTTCAAGTGCTGGTTACCCATATTTTATCAATGTGCATCTAGTTTTCATTATTGTTCCTCTTCTTTTATGTTTCTTATGGTGTCTTTTCTTTCATCTTGCTACTACCTCGCTCCACTCTCATTAGCAATTTTGGCAAGACTTTTGCCATTGTTTTGATTTAAAGGTTTTCAGTCGAGTTGTTTTCTTCATTTTATACTTGCTCATTTTCTTTGTCTCTTTCATTGTTTTGAACTTTGTTTATTTTAGAAGTTGGTACCTTAGTTGTTAGAATTGTCATAAGAGATATAGTTTGCCTACTTAGATTATGTTCCGCTTTCTCTTCAATGAACTTTGCCCTGCTTGAAGTATAGTTTGTTTCTTGGCTGGTTCCTCTAAGGTCCTTATATCAGTTTTTTTGTGGTTGTTGAGCAGTATTCTGTGTTGTTGTTGGTGCAACTCTCATCCAAACACCAAACTGTGCTTTCTTAAGTTCTTTCAAAGTTCAGGTTTTGTGTAAATTCCATATTTATGGCCTAGTCCAAACCCTCATTCCACTTTTTGACATGTAGCAGTGGGTAGGGTTGCAAACGAATCGAGCCGAGTCGAGTTTTGAGCTAATCGAGCCGAGCCTCGACTAAATTTTACCAAACTCGAGCTCGAGTTCGAGCTCGACGAGCCGGCAATTTTCAAGCTCGAGCTCGACTCGAATCAAGTCGAGCCGAGCTCGAACTCGAAAAAAATAAAAAATAATTATTTTATTTTTTAAAAAATAAATAAAATAATATTTTTTCTTAATAAATAATAAAATATTAAGGATATATACGTAATTTTACTATGAAAATAAAAAATAAAAAATATATAATATACGTAATTTTATTATTAAATAAAAAAAATAAAAAATATATATATATATATACTCAAGCTCGCGAGCCGGCTCGCGAGCTTACGAGCTTAATATTCTGAGCTCGAGTTCGAGCTCGACTCGAGCGGCTCGCGAGCGGCTCGATTCGTTTGCAGCCCTAGCAGTGGGTTTCATGTCTTTTCATTCATCATTTCTCTTCATCTCTACCAAGTTGATTCATCCTGCTGTGGTTTCAGTTCTTCAAGACTACCACCACTATAATTCTAGAATCATTGCAACTACCATTAATCAGCATTATAAGCACTATTGACTCTTCAATTTTGCCAACTAAAACTATTTGCTGGTATCCGATTCCATAATCAATCATAATCTCCATAGCTCAAATTTATCCCCTAACAAGGATAACCAAAATGTCAAGTAAAATAATACAAAGAAGGAGAAGAGCTCATTGATACATTTCAACATTACAAACACTAGAGTCAAATGCCGACAAAAATCTTCACTAACTAAGCTCTGTAAACCTTTTTTCACATAATATCTATTTATATTTTGAATTTCTACGAATTGATTTTGTGACCTATTGATGTTTAGGGTTTTTTACTCAGTCTTTTCGAATTTCTTCCTTCTTGATTGTTGTTGGTTATTTGTTTAGAATTTAGTGATTATACCTTTTGAAATTTTTCCTTTTTGATATTGGTATAATTACTCTCAGGAACCAACTTGCAAATAATTTATAATTGCAATCCTTGATTTGTCATTGTGATATTGGTG